GGACCGCCACGGCGAGAGAGACCCGCGGCCGGCGCCGGCGGAACGATCTCCGACGCCGCGGACTTCGCGGTGGGCCTTCGGCCAGAGCCGAATTTCGCACGCGTAGTGTAATAAGTGGAGCCGCGGCGCGTCGGGATCCGCGCCGGTCGCGGCCACGCGTCGCCTGAGGCCACGCTGCGCGCGGCACCCGTCCGGGCGGCGTCCGCAGCCCGAGAGCGTCCGGCCACGCGCGTGCCGCGCCGTCGCGGAGATGCGACGTCCCCTCCGGACCGTTCCTGGCTCCCGCTCGACGGACTGTCGCCTCTTTGCACAGCAACGGCCCGAAGGGGACGCAACCTACACCTAGCCCCGCTCAATTATTTTATTTGGGTCTTGAGAAGACTTCTAAACTTGGCGCCGCTGACAGCCTAATGACGTCTCACTTTTTTTGGTTTTATTTAGCTCTGACAGCTGCTCGCGCGTTCTATCTTCCTGGCGTGGCCCCCCGGGAGTATAAATCTGGTGAGAAGGTCGAATTGAAGGCGAGACCCGACGTCTTCAGATCGATTCCTAATCGCGAGCCTTCCTCGGGACTTCAAATATGATTTCTCCTCAGGTCAATAAGCTCACGTCTGTCCACACCCAACTTCCTTACGACTACTACAGCCATAAATTCTGCAAGCCGCATGGCGGTGTCAAGACTACAGCTGAAAACCTCGGTGAATTCCTAAGCGGCGATCGGATAGAAAACTCTCCGTTTGGTCCTGTGCTTCGTGAAGTCGACATGGCTATTCTTAGCTTGCTCCACGTAGGTATGCTCTCTACATGCGCACAGATGAGTATTGCAAAATCCTCTGCCAGGTGAAGCTGAACGGTGGGCATGTGGCACAATTCAAACGATCAATTGACGAAGCTTATCACCACAACTGGATAGTAGACAATATTCCCGCCGCAAGTGTGATTGATACGGAGGCATTCGTGACGACGAGTTACAGCCGAGGATTTCCAGTAGGATATTATGACCGTTTAGCAGGGAAACATTACCTCTATAACCACGCCAATATTGTGGTTGAGTATCATGAAGCTGTGCCGGACGGCAATCGTATCGTTGGTTTCTATGTTGAGCCTTTCTCAGTCGATCATAAGTTCGTGGGTGGGACTGCTTGGAGTGGGAACGAAGACGCACCAGCACTTGAGACATGCTCAATATTTGAACCAATGGATCTTGACCGCGCGAAAGACCATGGTCTAGCTCTGACGAAGTCTACGAAGGTGCTATACACTTACGATATCGTGTGGAAACCAAGCAATATAAAGTGGGCTTCCCGCTGGGATATTTATCTCTCTATGGATAATGCTGTGCCTAAGAAAGTCCATTGGTTTTCCATTGTCAATTCGCTTATGATCGTAATATGCCTGAGTGGTATGATCGCCATGATCCTGGCTCGCAATTTGCGGCGTGACATCAGCCAATACAACCGCGTTCCTACTGATGATGACGATGACGGTGACATTGGCACACAACCAAGTGAAGAGACGGGGTGGAAGCTTGTACACCAAGACGTGTTCCGCCCCCCTACAATTCTGCCCATGCTCCTTTGCGTATTTGTTGGCAGCGGAGTGCAGGTTCTGGTTATGGCCTTGGCGACAATTGCATTTGCTGCAGTTGGTTTCATCTCGCCGGCGAATCGTGGTTCGCTCATGTTTGTCATGCTCCTCCTCTTTGTGCTTATGGGCGCTTTTGCTGGTTATCATTGCGCTCGCCTCTATAAGAGTTTCAAGGGCCAGCGCTGGCAGCGTGCAACCGTTGCGACCGCATTACTTTTCCCTGGTGGCTCGTTTATCGTTTTTTTTGGCCTTGACCTCACGCTCGCTTCCTATGAAGGTTCTACAGGCGCGGTGCCAATCACCACGCTGCTTGCTCTCCTTGCTCTCTGGTTTGGCATTTCTGTACCTTTGGTCTTTCTTGGCGCGTACTTGGGCTTTCGCAAAGAGCCCCTAGAATTCCCAGCCAAGTTCTCGAACATCCCCAGGCTTGTTCCGACCGCGCCCTGGTACCTTAGCACCACTTTCACTGTTGTCATCGGTGGCGTTCTTCCATTCGGAGCGTGTTTCGTTGAACTTTTCTTCATTCTTTCATCCATGTGGATGGACCAGTACTATTATGTCTTTGGCTTCACATTCCTCGTGTTCGCCATCCTCATTGTTACTTGCGCTGAAATCACCATGGTCCTCCTCTACTTCCAGCTCTGTGCCGAAGACTACCACTGGTGGTGGCGCTCCTTCCTTACATCAGGCTCTACTGCCGCATATGTCTTTCTCTATTCATCGTTCTACTTCTCCAAGCTCGAATCGAATCTCCCCATTACCTACTTCCTCTACTTTGGCTACATGGGTATTATCTCCTTTGGTATCTTCCTCTTTACCGGCACTGTGGGCTTTTTCGCTGCTCTTTGGTTCAATGTCGTCATATTCGGTTCTATCAAAGTTGACTAAATGTAGCCGCACCTCAGCCTCTATTTAGCCTTGATAAATTATTTTTCACGAACTTCCCGTAAAACTGGCACAGCTAGTGTGCTTCAAAATGCTAGTCATCGAGTACTTAATGATGTATATGATGCGATGGGCGATGATGAAGACGACGATGATGATAATTAATAGGGACTGCCCCATTTTCGTCTGCTGGCATAACAACTGGCATCCCACATTATTCGGGGTCGTGGGAAATTCGACGTGACATACTTGCTCCACGCAGCCTAATACAGCCCAAATGAGACTTTAGAACACGGATCAACCAAATTTGATCTTATGATCCGGCATAGGCACGGAGGAGCGCGACGGAGGCACGACGTCGAAGCAGCGCGTAGCTGCCAGCATGTTTATAGGCGCGCAAGGGGTTGGCAAGGGGTCGGGTCGGGGGAGTGGCTCAACTGGCGCTCTTACCTAGCTCCCGCCTAGCTCCTGCCTCTGGTGGCTTGTCGACGCGGGGATGTTGGCTGGATGTTGGCAAAATAAAGGCGGCCTACATATGGTAAGGCCTCGCCGGACGACTTACCCATTCTAACCCTCGGACGGAACGAGGACCTTTAAGACGAAGCTATGGTTCGAGCGGCTTTATCAGCCCACAGCCGCGCGATAGTGCCGAGTTCCATCAGGTATGCCCGCCGCCTGATCCTCTGCCATTTATCCACTCCTCCCCCCCAACAGAAGATTTTCCTGGGGTGCGCTCAGGCGCACAATAATAAAAGAGGATGTCAGCGACAGACGATCACTCGTACTCGAGTACGAGATATATCTTCTGTCTCTCTCCTCTGTATCCTGAATATCCTGGCTGATATATCCTAGCGGCTATATCACCTGCACTTAATATCAGTGTTATCTCCTGCTCCCCCGGCGCCTGCGGCGCTCTCTCGGCGCCTACGGCGGCGCCCTCGGCACCTTCGGTGCTCCTTCGGCGCCGATTTTTTTTTCTTTTCTTACCCGAAGTGTGATTGGTTCTAGCGCTTCTTGCCGCTGGAGTCGTGGCATGCGTACAGCTCGCTTGAGAAGAGCTTGCTCCTGTTTAATTTTGTGCGCATCGAGCACCTATTCAAAGCATGCTTGACCCTTCTGTGGGCATGAAATGGTACGGCAGGCGAGGTCGTCAAACATGGCAAGGCCCTGCATAAGGTAAGCCATTCTCGACATGCACCCTTATTTAACCACGTAATGCTAGGAGGTACTCTATTACCAGTAATATGCTCCGTGGCGTCTTGGTGGCTGCGACGGTGTTCAAATGGGCTTCAGTTGTAGCGGATGCCGCCAAAGATGGCCTGGCAATCGCGTTGCACGCCCAGTCAAAATCATCGTTGCATGGCTGGGTAGCAGGATCTGAAGTGACTACGCGCGGGCTGCGGCGTGCGTTGCTCCGCAGAGGTGACGTCGCAATCGTAGAGATCCTAGCACCGTTTGCTTATGAAGCAGCGACGTCTCGATCATGGGATATACTTCTAGTGGAGGGGTTTTCTGGTCCGGTGGCTACGTTAGTTCGCATTGTACGGCGGCTGAATGGAAATGTGGTGATTATACATTGGTGTCTGGACACGTATCCGTCACTACCTACAATAGCAGCCGTTGACGCTGACGGCTTTCTCACCAACTCGAGGCTCCTGGCCGCGCGTGGCTTCGAGGTAGCTGGCGGTGCACTTGATCTGCAGTCGACTTGGTTCCCCATAGCCGATCTGGCACCTCGTGCATTTGTGGCACTCGCAGTGGATCCCGACGAGATGCGCTCAAACTTTGCGTTTGTAGCTGAAACGGACAATGCCAAAGACCTCATCGTATATTTGGGGCAACCATCGCAGGGGAAAAAAATGCTCGCTAATGTATTGATGTCAATCCATCAAAACGTTCCCGATGCACGCCTCGCTATCTATGGAACTGCCTGGGACCGATTTGCTCTTTGGGACAATGATCATGCGGTTCTTGCCGCCTGTTGCTGGCAGGGTGCTCTTCCAAGCGATGAGATTGCCAGACTCTACAGTGAAGCATCTGTGGTACTTGGGACCACCGATTCATCACAGCGGCGACTAGGCATGGTCAATAATCGAGTCTTTGAGGCGTTGGCCTGCGGTGGGGGTCGCCTTATATCAGTCGAGGAGCAAGGTGGAGATGGATTCCCAGAGTTACAGGCCATGCTGCGAGGACACGGTGACGTGGTATATTCTGCCACTAGTGCGGCAGCAGCCGTGGCTTCAGTATTGGCCGCGCAAAGGGCAACACCAATGGTCATCCGCTACGATGCCGCAGCAGCTCGAGAGCACATAACTGATCGACACACATATGATGCTCGCGCAGCGGGGGTCTTAGAAAGCGCCGCACAGTGGCACGGCGATGGACGACCAAGGCCAAATCGGCCTCTTCTCCTCCTCGTGGTCGATGGCGGAACTACCGCCGACTGGGCACTTTTCTACGGCCTTCTTCCTGCGTTATTGGCGCTCGATCATACCTGGCGTGTTCAAGTCGTGGACGTGAGAACGTTTGTATTGGCTGACTGCGGTGGCGCGGCGCTCGTTGCTGCTCGTGGATCCTGGGGGGGGGTCGCCACGCGTGCTGTTGCAGCACTTAGTGACGTGGCCGCTTGTGCTGTGGGTAGTGGCATCAACGGTGAGCCTCGGCGTCCATCGACAGCACTCTTTTTAGAGAGACGCTTTGTTGATGGAGAAGTCCTGCCTCCTGATGTGCAATGCTCTGAGATGTTGCGATTCGATGCCATATTCCACGACTGCCTGGGTGCGCTCCCAGCCTGTCTGAAGGACCACCCAAACGCCCAGATCGCACTCGGGGTCGACGTTGAAGCTTTTCGACCAGAACTATCG